CTTTCCACCCGGCCCCGAACACCGCCATCTCCCTCCCCCCACCCGCCCCCAGCCGCGCCCGCTCTCCGACGCGGCTTTGGCCACCGTGCCTGGTCACCACCGGATTGCCCTTTGAAAAGCCACTGCCCGTGGCGAGAAACCGCAACCGCCACATCGCAGGCGGAACACAATGAGCTGGAGTTGGCAGCCCGGTTCGGAACTGCGCTTGCGCGTTGCCCGGGAAGCTGCGGACCCGAACACCCGCAAGTCAGAGGGCTGCTACCTTCTGGCTTCCCAGACTCCACTTCCCAGAGGGCGAAGCGGCGGCAAGCGCAGAAAGTGATATTGCGCGCTTGCGCAGACACGGCCTCGCCCATCAACACCACGACTGGCCGCTTTCAGTGCTGAAACTACATTTCCCAGGGGCCACGGCGGGGGCGTCACGGTTCCTTAGCGCAGCTATTCCCTGTGCGCTACCCTGCCCGTGCGACTTTCGTTCTGTTCTAGTCAGCGTCCGCTTCAGCTCTGAAATAACGCGTTGGAACGTAAAGACAGCGAGAAGTTGACGACGGGCTAAAGTAGGTCGGTCGCGGGGAGAGGGTCGGGGACGGTCCCCAAGGATGGAGTAGGAGGTGAGGAGCCGCAAAGTCGCCCTCCTGTAGGAGGACCGCGCGGAGACGACTTGAAGAGGCGACGGGACTGCGCCCCAGGGACCGGGCCGGGGCGCGGTAGGGGCGGCAGGCGGGATGCGGGGCCGGCTGCCTTGGACGGTGGCTGGGACCCGGGCGGTAGCGCGGGAGAAACGCCGAGGAGGTAGAGCCGACCTGGGTGTCAGCGACTCGTCGGGGAAGGAAGGAGCCAGAGGCCGAGGAGACGGTGTCGGACGCCGGGGTGGGGGTTATGTCTGTGGGGGCGGGCAGGGATGAGGTGATGGATAGAAAATCCCATTGCAGATATTTCGTTGCCTTTGAATACGCTTTTCCACCGAGCTCGGGATGGAAAGAGGAGGTTTTAACGTTGTCGGTGGTGACTTAAACGGCGCCAAAAATGTGACCTGGGGTTTGGGAAACTGTCGGCCACCTCTTAGGAAGCAGTGTCAGTGACTTGTGTGACACCACAGGATCTTGTTTGGGGCTTTATGGAAGGTTCCATCCTCTTGACACTTCTGGAGCACTTGTGCGTCAGGCACTGTTCTAGGGGCTGGGGAAAGAGCAGCGAAAACCTGCACTTAACGCAGGTTGGAGTCGAGAGGAAGTAGTCAATAAAACATAGAAAAATACTTACCAGGTAGTGACGACGCAGTGAACCTGTGGCAGTGGGGTGGGGACTGGGATTATTTTAAGTAGTGTCTTGGGAAATTCTCTTTGAGGAAGTAACATTTGAGCAGAGATGTGAATACCGCGAGAGAGGAAACCATGTGACTATCTGGGGAAGAGCCATCCAAGGGGGAGGGGACAGCGCTGTCCAGAGACAGAAGTGTGCTTGGTGGGCCTGAGGCTTTGCAAGGCTAACGGGACTGGAGAGGGCGTAGAGTGAACAAGGGAGAGTTGGAGAGGTAGTTTGAAGGGTACTAGAGACCTTGAAGTCCATCCAAGACCTTTGGATTTGTTCTATGTGTGATGGGAAGCCATTGAAGGAGTCTGTGCAAGAGTGATGTGGTTGAGCACATTTTGAAAGAATCTCTGGTCAGCTGTAGGGAGAAGAGACTGTGGTGAGGCTAGAACGCAAATACAGGGAAACTAGTTAGGAGGCTGTTACAACCGACCCAGGGAGGGACAGCCTCCCACAGTTCTATAATCTTTCTACAAGGCATTTGTTTTGAGTCTTGTGATTCTAAGATAATTTTCTCGATGCCATGCTAAGGAGTCTGAATGTTATTTTGTTTTCAGGATATGAGGATGATAATAATAGATTTATTGAGAACTATGTTCTCAATATGTTGGGCACTTTACATCAGTATCTAATGTAATCCAAAGCTATGGAGTTTGCACTACTAGCAAATGAGTGAAGCATGGAGATGTTAAGTGTCTTGCCCAAGCTCTCATGCCCAGTAAGTGGAACCGGGAGTCCTGCCCCTGATGATAGAGGAGCGAACCAAAGGCTGTCCTCCTTACTGGCTGCCCAGCATGACTGAGGGCCTAAGACTTCCAAAACTCCTGAAAAAGTAGCGAGACCTCCATTTGGCTGACCCATTTCTCCAGCTGCTTCCTCTAAAAGTTAATATTTTACCACGTTTTGAACTAGTGCATCCATCTTAGGTTTCAATACACTTCATTTTTCCCTTTCCCCTTGTCCCGTGCCTCCTTCTGACCCTTTGTTTTGCTGCTGTCTTTATCATTTTCATCTATTTTCTACTCATCTCTTCTCTGCCTCCTTTAGAAAAAGAAATAAGTGAAGGGAAAAGGAGGAAACTAAGTGTAAGGGACAAATATTAAAGATCTGAGTTTCAGAGGATACAGGTTAGTGTTTCAGTCCCCCTTTGTCTTTGTTCTAAGAGTTAGACTGTAGAGGTCACATAGCCCAAAGAGACTGAACTGCCCAAGGATTCAGCATCCATAGCGAACCTCCTCCATTGTCACCCACAAACATCTTCTGCACCCATCATTTCTTGATTCCCACCTCTCCCAGTGAAAGTTTCCTTCCTTTTGAAAAAGGTTGAAAAACATTTCTATAGCTTCTACCTCTGCCCCAATCTTGTTTTCCCACTTTGAGCTGCCCATTCCCTCCTTTCTGCACCTTTGACTCTCCCATACCTCTTCTTTTCAGTGATCATGTAAACCCACTCTTGGCAGACTGTTCATTGGCTAAATCAACACTTTTCTCCAACCTCCTTTTCTTTGCCTACCTCCACTTTGGAGGCTGGAAGAGTATTTTCTCAGCCTCCTTTGCGACTGGCCTCCATATAACACAGCTGTGGTCAATGAAATGTAAGCCGAAGTCTGCTGAGGGGCTTCTGGGAAAACCTGACAAAAGGCACAGATGTTGCTGGTGCTTCCCATATCTTCCTGCCTTGAATGCAGATGTTTTACTTGAAGCAGAACAGCCATCATATAACCCTGATGGAAAAGCCATGAAACTCAAGGCATTGAATTAATTTTGTCTTTGAAACAATGCCAGCCTACTTCCAGATTTGTTATGTGAGGAAAAAAAAATCCCTGTTTGCTTGTAAGGATTGTTAACTGGGCTTTCTAGTATTTGTAGCCAAAAAGCTCTTCTGATAGATATACTCTCTCAACCCAATCTCCCTCTAGTTATCTTTCTAAATGTCTTTCTCAGTCAAGATACTAAGTCCTTTTCACTCTCCAGCCTACTAATATTTAACAGGTTATCAATAACCAAAGCCAAAGGTCGTTTTCTATTTTTATCTTACTTTAACCCCCCAAAGCATTTGAAAATATTAACTATTCTTACCCTACACAAAATTCTTTGACTTCTGTGCCACCATCTTCTAATTTTTCCTTCTGTTTTTCATTTTTCTTTTGGCTGTTGTTTCCTCTTATCTCCTACTGGTTCTACTTCCTCCACTTACCCTGTTTGATGACAGTATGCTCAGAGTATCCTTCATCACCACCCTGCTAGTTATTTTAGTCTGTCAGGATCTTCACTTGGATACCTACAGATTGTTTAAAATCCCCCAGACTGAACTTATCACTGACCCACAGAATCAGTCAACTTTATGTGTTCTTAATTATGGCACTACATCCACCCAAATAAATTCAAGTTCCTACATTCCATCAATTACCACATTATCCAGATTCTGCCTCCTTATTGCTTGAATTCTTCCTTTCCTCTCCTCCACTGCGAATTTCTTAGTTTAGCCCTTGAAAAGCAAAGAACATACCTTCCCCAGTCTGATTTTCTGATCATGTCTATCACATATCTAGCACTTATTGTGTATGAAATAAATGAAATTGTCCTAACTGCTGTCATCACTGTAGATCTATAAAACCTATGACTGTTCTGAATATGTTTTGAGTTGTAAAGATTTCATTACTATGTCAAATTTTCATGTCTATTAGTGTTTAGCATCCTTTCCTTTCCAATTTGATAGACTATGATACAAAGATATGTATTTGAGTCCTATGTACTTAGAGACTATATTTAAGTTACACTGTTTTGTAATTAGCTTATTTAACAGTAGTTTAATGACTTAATTGAGAACTCAAAACAGCATGCTATGGCATTAAGATCTGTACAGTTATTTCATCACCCAGTAGCAATCAACCTATGTTTTAGGGAGAAAATAACAGTGGGGGGTGGGGGTGGGGAAATGGAGGGATAATAATAGCATTTGGTAGAGGTAGAGACTTTTGACTCAAAACATCCAGGGAAACCAGATTGCAGATTAGGAGCATCTAGATAACATATATAACATGGTAAAAGGTCAAGGATTTCCCAATATTGGTTATATTTATAGCATTTTAGAACTAATCAGGATTCTGGAGACCTTCTAAATTCAAAATCCCTCATTTACCAAATAAGGACACCATGACCTGGTGAAAGTAGGTGACTTGTCCAAGTTAGTGGCAGATGAGGACTACATACCAGGTCTTTGAGCTGTCCAGTTAAGCACTCTCACATTTTCTGTCCAGTGTGAAGTCTCTGATGTCCAAAGGAGATCTGCAGTATGACACAATAGAACTTATCTTCAACACAAATCCTCGTTTAGAACATGAGCTATTTAAACCTTCTGATGTAAAGGAGGAAGTTTTACTTTCTGAATTAAGATTTTTCTATTTTATATGGTTTTTCCTGCAGTGGTCTGTATTATCTGATATAGTAATTTATACTTCAACTGAAAGATTCCTACAGTCATTACATTTATGAGGTTTCTATGTTACATGACTATTATCACTGAACAGTTAATCCTAGTGAAGGGTCCAGTGAAAACTTAACTCACGTATGAGTTCTCTGATGTCGTGTAAGGTTTGTACTCCGACTGAAGGCTTTTCCACATTCATTACACTGATAGGGTTTCTCTCCTGTATGAGTTCTCTGATGCACAATTAGGGATGAATTCTTAATGAAGGCTTTTCCACACTGATCACATTCATAGGGTTTCTCACCAGTATGGATTCTTTGATGTTCAATAAGGTATGCACTCTGGCTGAAGGCCTTTCCACATTCATTGCATTCATAAGGTTTCTCTCCAGTATGAATAACCTGATGTACAGTAAGGGAAGATCTCCCAGTGAAATGTTTTCCACATACCATACATTCATAAGGCTTCTCTCCAGTATGAATTCTCCGATGTTGAGTAAGAGATGAATTCTTACTGAAAGCTTTCCCACACTGATTACATTCAAAAGGTTTTACTCCAGAATGAAGTCTCTGGTGTTCTATAAGGTATGTGCTTTGGCTAAAGGATTTCCCACATTTGTTACATTTGTAGGGTTTTTCTCCAGTGTGATTTCGCTGATGCAGGGTAAGAGTTGAGCTTTTACTAAAGGCTTTCCCACATTCACTACACTCATAGGGTTTTTCTCCAGTATGACTTCTCTGATGTACAATAAGATGCATGCTCTGACTGAAGGCTTTTCCACATTCATTGCATTCATAGGGTTTTTCTCCTGTATGAGTTCTTTGATGCACCGTAAGATTCATGCTTTGGGTAAAAGCTTTTCCACATTCACTACATTTGTAGGGTTTCTCTCCAGTATGAATCCTTTCATGTTGAATAAGGGATGAATTTTTACGGAAAGCTTTTCCACACTCTTTACACTGATAGGGTTTCTCTCCAGTATGAGTTCGTTGATGAACAGTAAGGTTCATGCTCTGACTGAAGGTTTTCCCACATTCATTACATTTATAGGGTTTCTCTCCAGTATGAATTCTTTGATGTACAGTAAGGGAGGAGCGTTCAATGAAGTGCTTCCCACATACATTACACTTATAGGGTTTTTCCCCAGTATGAATCCTCTGGTGCTTAAGAAGAGATGAGCTCTGGCTGAAGGTTTTCCTACATTCATTACATTCATAGATTTTCTTTCCAACAAACATACTTTGAGTTTTAATTAATTCAGAATTCTGTTTAGTGTCTTCTTTGTGTGGATTCTGATTATGGGGCCTTTTTCCCACAGGAATACTTTGTTTTATATCAAGGATTGACCCCTGACTAGAACATCTTGCAAATTCATTACCTCCACATGTCCTTCTCTCAGTGAGGGTTTCTTCATGAGTAACTGACACTTGGCCCAGAGGTCTATCCTGGTTTTTCTGTTGCCCATCTAACCAATTATCAGGTTCCCAGGTTTCCCCTAAAGAAGAATGCCAGAGACCTTCCCTTTCCATTATTACCCCATAAGCTATATCTTCAGTAGTATTAGGCTTTATAGTTGACTCTTTGGTTTCAAGTCTTGTCTTCCAATCTGAAAAAAATAAAAAATTCAAATCCACATTGGTTTCTGTGCTGGGAAACTAAAAACTGTATAAGGTGGGAATAAGAGAATGAAACTGTGAATAACTATAGGGCACATGTGAGAGCTTTCAAAGATGTCCCTACAACTGGGAAGAAAAACATAGGGAAGGAACAGTGAACCAGTCCATAAATAACTGGAGAATGAGAGGAGGTGGTAAGCACAGAAAAGAGTGAGCCTATGTATACAGCAGGGATGGACACTGAAATCACTGACCACTGGACAAGGCTGAATAATGAAGATGCAATGAAGGGAAGTATACAGACAAGCTGGGATTGGGGGGGGGGGGGGGGGGGGGGGGGGGGGGCGCGGGAAGCAGATCAGAAAGCCCTGCCACATTGTACCTGGTATTTCCACCAGCAGTTTCTTCTCTCCTGAATGCTGTTTCTAGTTCTGACGCTAAATCTTTGTACAACATCACAGTGTGACACAGCAAAAGATTATTGGCTCTGGAGTCAGACATAACTTGGGTTTAAAGCCTAGCTATTAACTTACCATTTTAACTAGTTATTTGATTCTCTGGGTTTGAGTTTTCACAGATAAAAAATAAAAATAATATGATGAGGATTAAGTAAGATAATGCACATAAACTACCCTTAGGGAATATGCTTGTTTGGAACATAAAATACCACAACCTACTTGAAATTAAAGGGAGAATGACACAATCTAAGGGTTATCCCCCACTCCCACCAACTTTCAACAGGCTATAAGTTTCTCATTCTCTTTAGGTAAGAGGGGCTGAAAGGGCTCTACCCTTTCCTAAATATCCATTCCTTAAAGATGTGAACTGGTGTCAGGGAAAGGCAAAGTAGGATCTGTTGAGCTGCTTGAGATCAGGCTAAAAGGAAGGACCTTGTGGCCACTAAGACTTTATTTTCTCAGAACCCACTTCTTATCCTAGACAAAATGCCTGGGACAATGAGAGCAGAGGACAGGAAACTACAAACTGAGAATCAGTTGTCAGCTTGACCAAAATTACCAGAACCAAGATCAATACTGAATCAACAAACCAAAGGCCTGTGGGCAGGAGAATTTACTATGAAGCCTGAGGTATGCACTAACTGGACCTCCTCCTTATAACCTCACCTGCTTACACACACACACACACACACACAAAAGTGGAAAGCCACACAGGCTCTACTTCTAAAACACACACACCACCAAGTAACCCCAGAAAGGACCTATCTGAGTGTGAAATACCAACAGGCAACACATGAACTGCCTCCTACCCCACTTCATTATCCTATCCAGCTGTCCAACTAAAGCTCTTTGAGAACAAAGTGCTACCCAATAAACAACATAAAGGGCAAAGGAGGATCCATTCACACTTTTAGACAAATACAAACTCCAGACAGAACTGCCCTCAAAGATAAATGATACACAAAACATAGCAAATTTGGAAATTTGGTTCAAAGGCATCAAAAGAAAGAAAACATGAAAAACACTGACATACTGGGAGGAGATCTTTGCAACACCTGGCCCATACAGTACTAGAACCTAGATTTATAAAACATAACACTAAGCCTGCCACAAAAATGGGGAAGAGACTTGAATAGGCACTTAAGAAAAGGAAACCATAACGGTGAGTAAACTAGCAAAGATACCCAATCTCAACAGTAACCAGGGGAAGGCTGATTAAATGCCAGTGAGATATGATTACCACATACACCTGAGTAACAAAATGAAAAAATACAGACTGATATCTTCAGATTTTAGCAATGTGCTGTAATGGGAACTTTCACATGCCACTGGTGGGAATGCAGTTTGGTTCAGATGTTTGAAAAAGTTTAGCACTACCTAGTAACTTAGAACAGGTACAAAGACTATGATTTAGCAAACCCACTAGTAGGTACATACACTTAATCTACCTTGCAAAGGTATATCACAATTCGTAAGTTTTAAGGTAACACTGTACACAATAGCAAAAATGGAAACAACCCAAATGCCCACCGACAACAGAATAACTAAACTGTCAAACATATATAACAGTAGAAATCAGGGAATGTTAAGGATTTCATGTTTGTATCTCCTCAGAATTCATGTGTTGAAGCCTAATCCCCAGTGAGATAATACTAAGAGGGCCTTTGGAAGTCATTAACTCATGAGGGGAAAGCCCTTATAAGAAGTGACACACACAGGGCGCCTGGGTGGCTCAGTTGGCTAAGTGTCCAACTTCAGCTCAGGTCATGATCTCACAGTTTGTGAGTTCAGGCCCCACATCGGGCTCAGTGCTGACAGCTCAGAGCCTGGAACCTGTTTCAGATTCTGTGTTTCTCTCTCTCTCTCTCTGCCCCTCCCCTGCTCACACTCTGTGTCTCACTCTGTCTCTCAAAAAATGAATAAATGTTAAAAAGAAAATTAAAAAAAAAAAAAAGTGACACAACAGAGCCTGCCTCCTCTATCTCTGCTCTCTATCACAGGAGGATGCAGTGAGAAGGCAGCTGTCCATGAGCCAGGAGGAGGGCCCTCACTGGAAACCCAATCACACTGGCCCCTTGATCTCAGACTCCCAGCCTCTAGGAACTATGAGAAACACTTGGTGTTTAAGACACCAAGTCTATGGTATTCTGTTATAGCAGCCCCAACTACGACAGTGAACATTAACAATAAGATATGTACATATAACAAAAAGAATGAATGAATAATTTATCTATACACAAATATATATAGTAAGAGTCCAATTAAGTAAATGTGAAAAACAGACTAAACTGTATCATTTAGAGATTCCTTTATTGATGGCAGTACTGTAAAGAAAAGCAAGGAAAGGGAATTATCACCAAAGTGAGAACAGTAGTTATGTTCTGGGTGGAGGTAGGAGGATATAAATGGAGAGGTTCACACAAAGCATTCCTAAGATACTAGCAATGTTACAAATCTGGGTTCTAGTGTGTGGGTGTTTGCTTTCCTTATTATTCATTCATCTTTATTGTTATGAACTATAGAGAGAAGCAACATGGCATAATGGTTAAGACAACAACTTTGGAGCCAGACTACCTGGCTCCATTAGCTGTGTGACCATGTGCAGGTTATTTTTAACCTATCTGTGCTCCTGTTTCCTCATCAGTTAAATAGCACCTATTGCATAGTGTGGATGTAAGAACAAAAATTAGTTAACATTTACAAAGGGATTAGAAGCATATGTAGGTTTTTGCTAAATAGTACATGCATTTTACATGTTCTGTATGACATTTCTAAAAACAAATGAGAACAAAATATTTGCTGTTTTGGAAAATAATAATTTTAAGATGAAACACCATTATGTACTGCAGAAAACTTAACAGTAAGATTCAGTATTTTTTCATGGGGTTTGGAGATCTAAAGTTAATTCTGGAGATTTGCTGTAGAAAAAAAAATGGACTACCAACAATTTTTTAAAAACTGGCTTAAGAGGGGAGCTTGGGTGGCTCAGTTGGTTAAGTGTCAAGCTTCCGCTCAGGTCATGATCTAACAGTTCATGAGTTCGAGCCCTGTATCAGGCTCTGCACTGAGAGCTCAGAGCCTAGAGCCTGCTTCGTTCGGATTCTGTGTCTCCCCCCCTCTTTGCCCTTCCCCCACTTGTGCTCTCTCTCAAAAATAAATAAATATTTTAAAATAATAGATAAATAACTGGCCTAAGAGTTCTCTCCAAGAACATAGGATGCCAGAAGACAGTGAAGCCATGTCTACAAGGGACTGAGGAAAGACTGATGTGACTCAAGAATTCCACATGGCTAGTACTCTATACATGTGTAGAGAAAACCAAAACATTCTTAAATATGAAAGATGTAGTAATTACAGTACTCCTAAACCATTTCTGAAATACTACTTAAATATTCAGTTTGAACAAAGGATTTATCCAAGGAGTTCCAGAATGTTCACTATTAGGAATCTGTTAATATATTAATAGGTCATGGGAAAAAGGACATGTGACCAACCTGATGGATGCTTCAAAAGTAATTGATAATGTCCAACATCCAATCCCGATTCAAAAACAAAATTATAAGTAATGTACCCAAGCATACACATAAAACACTACAATTCAGGGGCGCCTGGGTGGTTCAGTCGGTTAGGCATCCAACTTCAGGTCAGGTCATGATCTCACGGCTCTTGAGTTCAAGCCCCACATCAGGCTCTATGCTGACAGCTCAGAGCCTGGAGCCTGCTTTGGATTCTGTGTCTCCCTCTCTCTCTGCTCCTCCTCTGCTCATGCTGTGTCTCTGTCTCTCAAAAATAACCATTAAAAAAAAAACAAAACCTACTACAATTCATACTAACAACACCATCAAGGAAAGGATGATTACTATTTAATATTGTTCCCAAAGTGTGACCAATACATTAGGCAACTTAGAGGGGAGGAAATTTTTATTTTTCCCAGGTCTCACAACTGTCTCCATGGAAAGAAAATTGTTAGGGTAGCTTTACTCAGAATTAGTGAAACGTTGAGGGGTTGGGACTGGAGCACTAAGGATCAAAAACTGTCACTTTTCCAGGGCACCTGGGTGTCTCAGTCGGTTGAGCAAGCGACTCTTGACTTCAGCTCTGGTCA